TAGGAACTAGGAATTAGATGGGTTTAGGGTTTAGGAGTTTGGACTTAGATGGGTTTAGGGTTTAGGAATTAGAAATTAGATGGTGTAGGGGTTAGGAATTAGGAACTAGATGGGTTTAGGGTGTTGCAGTTGGGGCTTAGATGGGCTTAGGGCTTCGGAATTAGGCATTATATAGATGGGTTTAGGGTTTAGGTATTTGGAATTAGATGGGTTTAAGGTTTAGGAATTAGGAACTAGATGGGCCCAGGTTTCATTTTGCTACAAGGGCCTGAGGCCTATAGGGTACAGATTTCCTCTTGCGAGATACACCCCTAAACCCTAAACCCTAAACCCTAAACCCTAAACCCTAAACCCTACACTGCAGGGCTCCAAAGATCCCTGAAAAGGATCCGCCAGGGGAGCAACGCCTGCCGCCATCAGCATCTTCCGAGCGTCTCGGTTTAGGGTTTAGGGTTTAGGGTTTAGGATTTAGGGTTTAGGGTTTAGGGTTTAGGGTCTTCGAAGCTTCGGACCCATTCAAGTTCTCGTGAGGGTTTAAGGTTGAGGGAACATGCTCCGAAGCGGTTTGGAAGTGCCATCATGTGGGCAGCTTGTGAGCTACGGAAAACCACAGTTGAATCCCTTCAAAACATGTGAAATCGTAAGCAAAACTTCCGAAAAAGCCACCTGAATGAACACCAAAAACGAAATCCTAAACCCCTGAACCCAAAACGCCCTAAACCTTACTCCTAATCTGCTCGAGATGCTCTGCTCCGGTCAGAGCTCCTCTGCCGACTGCGCCGCTGCTGCATTGGGCAGCACATCAGTGGCCCACCTGGGCTTCTATACCCAGTCCTTGGGTTTCCTTACAGCGATTATACTATATAAGTTGCTATGGTATACCCTATTCTAATTATTAAAGTCCCTCTGCGCTCTCTGAACCCTAAATCCTACGCCCTCAAGATGTTGCACGACTTCGGACAGATTGAGACGGCGTTTACTTCCTGCGTCTTCCCCCTAAAAGACCCAATCCGAACGCCGAGCTGTCAAGGCTCTGCAGAAGCTCCGGCGCAGCGGCGAGGGCACGCTCGTACTTGTCTTGAATTTCCTCAGCTCTATGGGTTTAGGGTTTAATGAAAAAAGACATGGGGGCCACCTAGCCACGACTGGAGCGGCCAAAGGGGACTCGATGAATTGAATACAAACATTAAGCACTGTGCTGGGGTCATTCAGCCATACTACCAGGTGGCACCGCTGCAGTTGAGGGTAGCACGCGAAACAAAGCAGAAAGAGAGAGAGTGGGCACTCAGTAAGTAACACTGTCCGAAGAGTCACCCCTCCCGGTGCACCGCACATTACTGCGAGACGTAGCACAGCTTCCGGTGCAGAAGTCCCACACAAGACGGATGGTGCTCAAGCAAGGGACTGAAGATGGGACTCGAACCTGGCAGGAAAGCATGCTAAACAGCCCTATGTAGGGTTTGGGGTTTAGGGTTTAGGGTGGTTTCAAGAGGACTCCGTCGTTAAGGAAGCTTTTGGACTCTCTAAGAAGCCTGAGCCCCAACCCCCAATCGAACCTTGGCAAAGCACTATACAACCTAAACCAAGCCCCAAAAAACCTAGAATCCCTTACAACGGGTCCTGGCCCCCCTCAAAACAAACGTTCAAACCTTCAATACCTCCAAAATTCTCAGAGACTGTTTTCATCTCCACGACATCCCTGCACCCCTGAGTTTTAGAGGAACCCTTTAAAAACCCTAGACCCCAAACCCCAAACCCTAAAAACCCTACACCCTAAACCCGAAAGACGAGCCACGAGCAGAAGCTCCTGCTCTTTGATCTCACGAATTCGGTAGCCCGGATCGAGGTCCTGGCAGGCTTCGGGGTTTTGGTTTAGGGTTTAGGGTTTAGGGTTTAGGGTTTAGGGATTAGAGTTTAGGGTTTAGGGATTAGGGTTTAGGGTTTAGGGTTTAGGGTCTAGGGTTTAGGGTTTAGGGTTTAGGGTCTAGGGTCTAGGGTTTAGGGTTAAGGTCAGTCGTGTCCTCCTTGCTGTGCTACTGATGACCAGCAATCTGGCTGCAAGTCTGACTAGTTGCTTAGCGCTCTTATCATCAGGACTGTTGTTGCTAGAAGTCGTCAGGCTTACCATGAGCGCTTCAATGTTCCTCAAACCCTAACCCCTTGAACCCACCTCATACTGTAAACCTCTACCCCATAAATCCTAAAACCATGAAGCCCTGCATCTTTAACCCTAAACAACCCAACCCCAACCCCTAAACCCCTCCACTCCCCCCTTCAAAAAGAGTATCAACTGCGATCATATTCCAGTATAGTACATGATAAGTTTTGTATTGATATACGTTGTAGTAACATTATGCTACATTATATTCGCCTCGGCCCCGGCCGAAGCGGTCAGAGGTTTCCACAGGGATTCCCTGTTTCCCCACCTTTTACGCCCCCTTAAAAATGGATGTCGGGCCTCCCGCCCCGCCCCCCTCCCCTCAGCTCCCCTTTCCCCCTTCCCTCGTCTCTTTTGTTGCAATTTGAAGGGAGGTTGTAGTGAGAAGTGTAATACGGTTTTTATAGTAACACCTATAGGATAATGCAGGAAATGTGCCATCTTTCGCGTGGGATTATTGCTCAGAGCCTCAGCATGAAAACTATACTGACAAAAAAACCTCACACATTAGAAAAGTTACAACCCCGAAGTAGGCGAGTGACGTCGCGGCTAATTTCAGCAGCGGTCGCTATTCAATTTCTAAATCGAAATTAGTGGGTTTGGGGCTGCCGGCTAAGAGTAGTAGCCGTCGTCGTAAAAGCGGTAGTTGTTTTCGGGGTCCCAAACAAAAAAACTGCCTATCTGCTCAAAGGGTGCTTGGGGATGCCAAAATGGGGCCCCACCAGGGAAAGGAGCCTGTCCGGGCCAGATAGGGTGTTTTTTTCGGACTAAAGGAGCGTGGGTGCCGGCCAGGCAGTTTTAGTCAAAACGAGCCTATCTGGGCCAGATAAAGTGTTTTGGGGAGTAAAGGAGTGGTTTTGGGGCCAAAAGCATTTTATCAAAACTAAAGTGTTTTGGTGGCCAAAGAAGGCAACTAAATTGCTCGTGGGTGCTGCAAGGCATTTTCAGTCCAAACGAGTTTATCTGGGCCTGATAGGTTTTTTATGTTTTTTGGGGCTAAAGGAGCCAACTTTGCGGCTTTCGGCGAGTCACGAGTAACACAGCATGGAGCAACATGGGGCCAAGGGCTGGGTCGCTAAATTGCCCGCTGATTTCGGAGATTTTCGAGGTGACGTCGTGTGACGTCGCTATAATTTGCACAGTTAAAAACACTTTCTGGAGCAAATGCACTCCGTCACGCAAGACCTCACCTGTTGCTTTCCTCAGAGACTCCAATACCCCTGAAGTAAGGAATATACCTTAAATCTTATTAGGGATCCTACTATAATTTAAGGTATATTCCTTAATTAAAGGGTATTGGAGTCTCTGGGTCCGAAACAATGCACCTGCTTCAAGCACAGCCGGGCCGAGGCGGACCACGCGAAGCGTTTATAGTACATCAGTATATCCTGTTACAGTGGAAGCCAGAAAGTTGGAACATCATTATGATGGTACCCTTGAGGTGCATGTAGGGGATCCTAGCAATAATCATCCTAAATCCATGTTCCAACTTTCTGAGGTTTGCTGTTTAGTGTATATATTTTCTTGGTCGAGGAGCATCCCGGTACTCTTCCGGGAGATCGGGGTCGAAGTTGACGTCCTTGGATGCTGGGGGCTTCGGGTTTAGAGTTTAGGGTTTAGGGTCCAGGGTTTAGGATTTAGGGTTTAGGGTTTAGGGTTTAGGGTTTAGGGGTTCAAGGGTTTTGGGGCTTAGGGGTCTAGGTGCTTCGGGCTTAGGGGTTGAGGCTTTAGGGGGTTAGGTGCTTCGGGTTTAGAGTTCGGGGCTTAAGGGGTACAATGATACTGGTAATGATCGTGGTAATAATGGCAATCCTGACCATAACGAAACGAAAAATAATACGTAGCAGTTCGCAAAGCAGTAACACTAATCATACTAATAATAATCATGAGAAGACATGATAATACTGCGAGAAAGCGGAATGATGATCATAGTAGGCTGTAGGGATCTAAGGCACTTCTCACTTCGCAGTTAGGGTAGCTGGTGTCAGGCTTGGTGGGTTTAGGGCCTAGGGATAGAGTTTTGCTAGGTTTGCCCCCCCCCTTAGAAGAGCAGCGCAGCCGAGCTACTGTGGCGGATCGTCGTGGCGCCTGGGTATGACGAGCACCAGCGTTGTCATATCTGCAACACAAGGCACCACATCGCAGCAAACAGGACAAGGTCATTAAGCCCAACAACCCCACCCAAAAATCCAAACCCTCAAGCATGAAGTCCAAAATTCTGCAGTACTGAGGGGCAACTGACAACCCTGCACCGCCACCGAGGGCTCCCGAAAAGCACTTTCTTGAGTCGTATCTGGCATGCCAAGCAGCATAGTGCCTCAGCTTCAAAGTTTGGCGTAAGGGTTAGGGTTTAGGGCTTTAGCTTTGCGGGTTCAGGGTTCAGGGGATGGCTGCATGAGTGCAGCAAATGTCCATATATACAAACAGCAGCGTTAAATTCTGCAGTACAGAAAGGGCATAGGCGCCACAATGGTAATGTCCACTGGTGGTCATGGTTGCATGAGACTTACCGGCGAAGACGACTCGCACCCGACAGTCTTGAAGTCTTGCGTTCATCCTCAAGAAACCGCGCAGCATGTAGGTGTAGTATAATATAGTACAGATGTAACGTAATACAAACGCGTATGTATGTGTATACATATATATATATATATGTAACAATATAATGATATAATAGAACACAAAATCATATAGTTCGGAGGCGCTCCACGCCTCTGGTGCGATCCGGCTCCACTCCATCCATGGCCCCTCAAACCCCAGCTCTAAACCCTAAACCCTAAACCACAACACCCCAGCTCTGCATCCGAAAACCCAAACTCTAAAGCAGCCAAACCTCTTAGGATTTTTCCTAAAGTGCACTAGTCCCTTTCTCACCGCAGAGACTGCTAGGGTTTTAGGGGTTTTAGGGTTTTAGGGGTTTTAGGGTTTAGGGCCCTACAAGCCCCAATATAATGGGACTCATGTACGGAATCCTAACAAAGGCCCAGGGTGTCTTAATCAGGTTACGGTAAACCCCAACCCCGAAAACTAAGCCCCAAACGCTATGTAACTATACAAACAAAACTGTAAACGCTCTAAAAGTGTGCACAGATTTCTCTACGTACCACCATACGACCCCTAAACTCAACCCTAAGCCCTAAACCCAACCCTATACACCCTAAACCCTACACCCTACAAACCCTATAATCCCTATAAACCCTACCCTGAACCCTACAAACCCTATAATCCTTATAAACCCTACCCTACCCTAAACCCTAAACCCTACAAACCCTATAAACCCTATAAACCCTATAAACCCTAGAAACCCTACAAACCCTACAAACCCTACAAACCCTACAAACCCTATAAACCCTACCAACCCTATAAAACCCTACAAACCCTATAAACCCTGTAAGCCCTACTAGAAAGCCGAAAGGCTCCGAAGGATCCAAGTTGGGCCCGGCCGGTGGGGATTCCGAGGGAGTCACATCGCCGCCACTGCCTCGGGCACTGTAGGGTTCTGTAGGGTTCTGTAGGGTTCTATAGGGTTCTATAGGGTTCTATAGGGTTCTATAGGGTTCTATAGGGTTCTATAGGGTTTAGGGTTTAGGGTTGGGGGTTTTCTTAAGGGATCATGGGACTTAGTAACTAGGGTTTAGGGTTTGGATCATGGGACTTAGTGACTAAGGTTATTGTTAGGATAAGTATGATTGCGTGCCCTAGCTAGCACAC